GAAGAAGGGTCTAGGCCCGAAACATAAGCTTTCCTGCTCCTCTGATGCTGCTTGGCCTGCTGTGTTCATCCAGCTCTACACCTTGTTATCTCAGATTCTCCAGCATCTGCAGTTCCTACATCTCTGAAACAAAGGAAAATGGTTCTGCTTGTTGAAGACCAAACATTTCAGACACTACAAATGCCGCAGGAGTTCCTCAGATCAATGCTCTAGTCACAACCATCTTCAAAGTTGCTTCATCAATCACCTTCCTTCCATCAAAAGGTCAGAAGTGACAATATTCACTGATGATTGCAAAACGATCAGCACCATTGGTGAGCCCTTTGTAACAAAAGCAGTCCGTATCCCTGTGCAACAACATTCAAACTTGGGCTCATAAGTGACAAATAGCATTCGTGCCTCACAATTGCCAGACAATGACCATCTGCAACACAAAGGAATCTAAACATCTTCTCTTATCATTTAATTGCTGAAAACCCCACTACAACATTCTGGAAATTGCTTTTGACCAGAAACTGAATTGGATCAGTCATATAAATACTGTGGCTACAACAGCAGGTAAGAAACATGCAATTTGGCAGTGAATAATTCATCACCTATCTCTCAAAAGTCATCTGCAACCTTCAGTGCACAGATCAGGGACGTGATCGATATTCTCCACTTGCCTGGATGAGTGCTGCTCCAGTAACACTCAAGAACCTCTATCATTCAGGACTAAACAGTCCATTTGATTAGTGATTCTTTTCATCGAATTAATCATTCACTGTCTCCACCACCAATGCATAGTGGCAACAGTATGCACTATATAAAAGATCTACTGTGGCAACAAGCGAATGCTCCTTCAACAGCACCTTCTAAACCTATGACCTCCTCCACCTGGAAGACAAAGGAAGCAGCTAAATGGAAACCATCATCTGTAAGTTCCCCATTAAACCACACTGTCGTGAATTGGAACTGTATGGGTGTTGCTTCACTATTGTGAGTCAAAATTGAGGAACTCATAACAGCACTGTAAGTGTATCTACATCAATTGGATCTGTAGTATTTTGAGATTGGCCAACAACTTCCACATGCCATGAAAGAATTAAAAAGTACATCCATATTGAAGTTAAAAATGGGATTTTTATCATAAAAATAGAAAATCTGCAACAGCACAGTGCTTGAAAGGTGAAGGTCAAACATTTCTGGAAATAAGTCATTTTAAACATAGATTATTTCAGATTAGATTGTTTATGTTCTTTGACAAAAATTTTAAAAAGTTCCTTTTTGATCAGAATGTTCTTTCTGTTTCACCTGATTCCAGCTGCATATCCTAAGCTGTTGCTTTGTCAGATATGATAGTGCCACTTTGTTTTCGGCCTCTTATGTTGTTTATCATAGGGATGTGTAAGCCTCGATTTCATTCTAACTTTACTTCCTCCAGTGCCCAAAATAAGACCATTTAAAAAAAAATTCCATTTAGGATTTCAGGTATCGGCTGTTTTCTTTGATATTACAAATTCCAATTTTGCTGATTTTATTTTAGCAATCTGTCTTTGTAGGCGCCTTACCAGATAGCTAAAACTGTTCTGTTGTGCAAGTAAACATGGAGAGTTAGCGTTGTGTGTAGTAAGCTTTAACTACTTCAGTTAGTGAGTACAAGTGTTTTTGGAACATAAGAATAAAAGGACAAGAAAGAAAGAAGGCTGTCGTAGTGTGAGGAGGATATATAAGAGGGGCACGATTAATGCTTGGGAGAGTAGAAAAGGGCAATTCTCCCAGGAATTGATAAGAACCAAGGTCCAGCTGATTTTAATTTATGGGCTTCATTTCAATATTTGAATTGATTCTCCCTGTTAAAGCTGGCAGGACAAATGGCAAGGCCAGAGATATTAGCATTAGTATGGCACCAGGAAAATAGTCCCACAATGTGAGTCAAATGTTTCTGGGCCAGTGGAGACCCAAGAATTCTTTCTGGGGCTGGAACACCATTCTGCTTCCCACAATGGCCAAATAATCCTCTTGAAAAATAAAATACATTCCACACGTTGGCCTTTTCTGGCCATTTTGTTGAATTCCTTTAGACTTATATCTGTCAATTTTAACTAGAGTGTCATGTGCAATGTTTTCTCTTCTTACTTGAACTTAGCTGCCTCTGGTGTCCCTCAAGGATCTATCATTTGCCCCTTCTTTTTTCATAGCTACAATCTGCCCCTTAGCAACAGCATCCAATATTGTAGCATTAGATTCTACATGTATTTTGACTTCTCAGCTAGTACTGTTTAACTGCTTGTCCAATAACCAGAAGTGGAAGAGACGATATTTCCTGCTATTAAGTACTAGGAAGACAAACCATTGTATTCAGTCCCTTTCGCAAAATTCATTCCCTTGCCACTGACTAATGGCACTTTTTTAAGTCTATTACTGTTGTAACACTTTGATGTTAAATTTAGCTTCAAGATGAGTCTTCTCCAAAACATCACACCATAATTAAGGACCCCCATTTCCAACTCTATAACATTGC